AAAACCCCCTTACTCCACAGGGGGCCTGACCTTTTTCTGAAATACCAAATGCGTCTGCTTTGGAAATCACAAACTTCTCCTCCTCTAAAGAGCTTGTAAATCTGGTTTCAATATTGGGTGATTACAGGCTGTGCGGAGAGCTTGAAAGTAAGCAGCCGCTGCTGGTAGCGGAGAGCTGGAGCTGGGCTGCCTCAGGGGGGCTGCGACTCTCATTTTTCACCCCACTGTGTGTTTAGTGTAAAGCCACTGACACCAGCAGATTCACCCCGGATTGGTGGTCGGGTGACTGGCCAGGCTCTGGTCGCAGGATGCTTACCTGCTCGTATCAGGACCCTGGAATTCACTTTTTGTTGTTGTACAACCACTTGCTCTGTTGTAAATCCAGCGCTCTCGTTGCAAGTGGATACTGCCCTGGAGGGCAAACACCTGGAAAAGCCCCGGGGAAGAGCAAGGTTTTCCCTTGGGTGCAATGGATGCATTTGCACCTTACCTTGCTGCTGTCGTGATCCTTAAAACAAGGTATGAACCGGGAAAAGACATCGTCAGGCTGCACGTGTGGGATGGATGTGCCTGTTAGCTCCCAGTCGGTGGGGTGCCGCAGCAAATAAATGACAGCGAAATTTGGCCTTCTCAATGGAAAGGAGGGTGATAAGAAGATTATCTCCCAAGGAAAAAAGATCTGTGGTAAAAAAAAGACCTCCACAGTAAGGTACAAGTGGAGTGAATAAAAGAAGGTCTCTGAAGGAGGCAAAGTTGTCTTTATTTCTTTTTTCAGATGCTTTCCCACGTGGAGATCAATGGAAGCGTGTTTGTTTTGTTCCAGTGGCTGGTCACTTCGCAGCCAAAAAACTGCTTCTTGTTTTGGTTCGAGGAGCTACTCGAGGAAATGTTTTGCCTCTGTCACTGTATTTTATTTCTGGAAAAAAAATGTCATGGAGAGGTGCTGTAAAATTACGGTTATCTCTTGGGAGGGGCCCATGTCTCCAGCGTTATGAATTCTGGCTCCCTCTAAATAAACAACCGACCTCATTTTCTTTGTTTCACCTCTAACCCTCGTCTGCAGCCTTGACAGTCCCAGGGGGTGAATCCTGAAGTAAAACAAACTGCGAGGGAAGGAAGCCAGGAGGGAGCTGCAGTGCCTGCAGATTAACAGGACCTTCTGCTCTCCAGCCAACCTTGACAAAAGGATTCAATCCTGAACTGACCTTCAGGGGGAAAAGCAAAACAAAAACCACCTCGACTTGAACTTTGAAGACCGTAGGAGTTTAATGCTTGGTTTGACGTCTCCTAAAGGGAGCACGGAGTTCGAAATGCCAAACACCTGTCTCGCAGACCCAAACCCTAACACATTATCAGGAAATCCGAGCCCCAAATCAAATGGCTTTGAAAAATACAGGATTTGCTCACCACTGTTTCCAAGCCATCAGTGGTTGCTACAAGGCCCTAAAAATGTGCTTTTTCTTCCCCAGTGTGATTCTCTAGGCACATATATAACATCCAGTGAAGATATGGCTACCTATTTGGCTACGCAAATGCTGAGTTCTGTTGAAACATCAATATTTAGATGCAACGTCTCAATGAATATTTTGGCCTGAAAGCAGGTCCTGCCCCACAGCCCAGCCCTGCTCTCTTCCCTGTTGGCAGGAGGGAAGAGAAGAAGTCAGCCCTGACTTTGTAAAAAAAGATGCTGGCGTGAATTTTGGGTAACACTTTCTTTTTTTAGAAGTTTTTATTATAACTGGAATGTTAAATCTTTTTCTAGTTATCACGTGATTATAATATATCAGTGGCCGTGCAGTTGGGAAAAGCTAGGGAAGTGTATTATTTCCTTCATCTTGGCTGTCGGCTGCGTTGAAGAAATATGGACTTGAGAGAGCTTACGGAGAATGGAGCCTCTTGTTTAGCTGCTTTTTCACCTGTTAGATTAAACTTTCCAAACACTGTTCATGGAGCAGCAGGGAGATGA